TGGTGTCGGTGTCGCCCGTCTTGGGGATTCAATGACATGCCTGCAGCCCGGGAGCTACAGGGGGCGTGTCCAGGAATGAGGAGGCACCTTCAGGTGGGAGGGATTGTCAGACAGGGTAAGACAGTTGGCTGGGACAGGAAGTGATGTCACAGGGAGATCGGTGTCTGGTCACAGAGATCCTGGAAGACAGGAAGGGAAGACTCAGCCGAGGACACAGCTGTCTGAAATGAGAACGTTCCGAGTGTCTCCAACCACCAATCACAGCCTTGGATGTCTATAGAGGGTAATGTTAGGAGTAGATGGCCTGCCACAGGCAACACAGACAGTTCCTTGTGCAGACACTTCCATACATACCAATGAATTACCTTCATGTAGCAGAGAAATCCTGGGAGATGGAGAGTCCAAGAACTGTAACTGGAAGCGTCTGAAGGCAGAACTGTCTGTGTTCACCACAGAAACCTATCATCTCCATTATACTGAGACATACACCTGTTATATGGGGGGGGCAGAGATCAGTGCTGCACAAATCAAGGACAGATTATAATGTGGCATGTTGGCAACGATTCTACGAGGGGGAGAGATACTAATGTGACACCACAGAGGAATGATAACGGGGGACACAAAACATTGTGACACACACTGGTAATAAAGGGGATACATAATAGTGTGACACACACCGGGAAGAAAGGGGGGGGACATATATTAGTGTGACACACACCGGGAAGAAAGGGGGGCGACGACATATAATAGTGTGACACACACCAGGAAGAATGTGGGGGGGATATATATTAGTGTGACACACACCAGGAAGAATGTGGGGGGGGATATATATTAGTGTGACACACACCAGGAAGAGAATGTGGGGGGGGGATATATATTAGTGTGACACACACCGGGAAGAAAGGAAGGGGACATATAATAGTGTGACACACACCGGGAAGAAAAGGGGGGGGGACATATATTAGTGTGACACACACCAGGAAGAAAAGGGGGGATATATATTAGTGTGACACACACCGGGAAGAAAGGGGGGGGGGGGACATATATTAGTGTGACACACAACGGGAAGAAGGGGGGGGGGACATATATTAGTGAGACAAACACCGGAAAGAATGTGGGGGGGATATATATTAGTGTGACACACACACCAGGAGGAAATGGGGGGGGGGGGGGGAGGAATATATTAGTGTGACACACCCCGGGAAGAATGTGGGGGGATATATATTAGTGTGACACACCCCGGGAGGAATGTGGGGGGGATATATATTAGTGTGACACACCCCGGGAAGAATGTGGGGGGATATATATTAGTGTGACACACACCGGGAAGAATGTGGGGGGGATATATATTAGTGTGACACACACCGGGAAGAATGTGGGGGGATATATATTAGTGTGACACACACCGGGAAGAAAAGTGGGGGGGATATATATTAGTGTGACACACACCCCGAAAGAAAATGGGGGGGGGACGATATATATATTAGTGTGACACACACCGGGAAGAAAGGGGGGGGACATATATATTATGTGACACACACCAGGAAAGAATGTGGGGGGATATATATTAGTGTGACACACACCAGGAAGAACTGTGGGGGGAATGTGGGGGGAATATATGTGACACACAGAAAAGATGTGACACAGTGTGACACACCCCGGGAAGAATGGGGGGGGGATATATATAGAATAGTGACACACACCGGGAAGAAAAGGGGGGGACATATATTAGTGTGACACACACACCGGAAAAGAAATGTGGGGGGATATATTAGTGTGACACACAAGGAGAAAATGGGGGGGATATATATTAGTGTGACACACACACCGGAAAAGAATGTGGGGGGATATATATTAGTGTGACACACACCAGGAAGAATGTGGGGGGGAATATATATTAGTGTGACACACACACGGGAAGAAATGTGGGGGGGATATATATTAGTGTGACACACACCGGAAAGAATGTGGGGGGATATATATTAGTGTGACACACACACCGGGAAGAATGTGGGGGGGATATATATTAGTGTGACACACACCGGGGAAGAATGTGGGGGGATATATATTAGTGTGACACACACACCGGGAAGAATGTGGGGGGGATATATATTAGTGTGACACACACCGGAAGAATGGGGGGGATATATATTAGTGTGACACACACCAGGAAGAATGTGGGGGGATATATATTAGTGTGACACACACCAGGAAGAATGTGGGGGGATATATATTAGTGTGACACACAGGAAAAGATGGGGGTGACATCAGTGTGACACACGGCAGGCCAGATGGGGGGGGGGGCATGGAATACCGTGACACACCCCGGAAGGATGGGGGGACATAGAATACCGTGACACACGCCGGGAAGAAAGGGTGGGGACATATATTAGTGTGACACACACCGGAAAGAATGTGGGGGGATATATTAGTGTGACACACACCAGGAGGAATGTGGGGGGGATATATATTAGTGTGACACACACACCGGGAAGAATGGGGGGGATATATATTAGTGTGACACACACCGGGAAGAATGTGGGGGGAATATATATTAGTGTGACACACACACTGGGAAGAATGTGGGGGGATATATATTAGTGTGACACACACCGGAAAGAATGTGGGGGGATATATGGGGGGGATATATTAGTGTGACACACACACTGGGAGGAATGTGGGGGGGATATATAATTAGTGTGACACACACCGGGAAGAATGTGGGGGGGATATATATTAGTGTGACACACACCGGGAAGAATGTGGGGGGATATAATATTAGTGTGACACACACCGGGAAGAATGTGGGGGGATATATATTAGTGTGACACACACACCAGGAAGAATGTGGGGGGATAGAATATATTAGTGTGACACACACACCAGGGAAGAATGTGGGGGATATATATTAGGTCAGTGACACACAGGAAAAGATGGGGGTGACATAGAATACAGTGACACCACACCCGGTGAAGGATGGGCGGGCGGGGGACGACGTAGAATACCGTGACACACCCCGGAAGGATGGGGGACGTAGAATACCGTGACACACCCCGGGAAGGATGGGGGACGTAGAATACCGTGACACACTGGGAAGGCTGGGGAAAGAACCGGACACACCCCGGGAAGATGGGGGACGTAGAATACCGTGACACACCCCTGGAAGGATGGGGGACGTAGAATACCGTGACACACACCCGGGAAGGATGGGGGGACGTAGAATACCGTGCACACAACAACGCCCCGGGAAGGATGGGGGAGGTGACGTAGAACACCGTGACACACCCCGGGAATGATGGGGGACGTAGAATACCGTGACACACCCCGGGAAGGAAATGGGGGACGTAGAATACCGTGACACACCCCGGGAAGGATGGGGACGTAGAATACCGTGACACACACAGAAATACCGGGAAGGATGGGGGACGTAGAAGAATACCGTGACACACACCCCGGGAAGGATGGGGACGTAGTATACACCGTGACACACCCCGGGAAGGATGGGGGGACGTAGAAATACCGTGACACACCACCGGGAAGGATGGGGGACGTAGAATACCGTGACACACCCCGGGAAGGATGGGGGACGTAGAATACCGTGACACACCCCGGGAAGGATGGGGGACGAATAGAATACCGTGACACAAATATTACCGAGACACACGCCGGGAAGGATGGGGGGACAGAATACCGTGACACACGCCGGGAAGGATGGGGACGTAGAATACCGTGACACACGCCGGGAAGGATGGGGGACGCAGAATACCGTGACACACGCCCGGGAAGGATGGGGGACGCAGAATACCGTGACACACCGCCGGAAGGATGGGGGACCGCAGAATACCGTGACACACCCCGGGAAGGATGGGGGACGTAGAATAACCGTGACACACCCCCGGGAAGGATGGGGGACGTAGAATACCGTGACACACCCCGGGAAAAAAGGGGAAGAATACCGTGACACATACCCAGTGATAAGAAGGGGGACAGTACATGACCGTGTAACACCCATTAGTAATAAGGGGGACAGAATATCCAGGTGACACTCAGTAGTGATAGGATGGGGGGACAGATATCGGGGTGACACTCAGTAGTGATAGGATGGGGGACAGATATCGGGGGTGACACTCACCCCGGTAAGGATCAGGGTGGCCAGTGAATTTCGTCTCCTCTCTCAGGCCCGCCTGGCCTCCCCCCCTCTCCCTCTCCTCTCACTGCCATGTTGGGTGTAGCTCACACCCCCGGCATCCCCCCGCCGGGCCCTGCGAGTGAGAGAAAGAGAGGCGGGGCCTCCGTGAGCAATGGGCGTAGCCGCCTCCTGGAGGGGCGGGGCTGCTTAGTTTTTGAAAGCTGGGTTGACGTCGCCGTCGTGCCACGCCTCCTCGGTGGCGGCCCGCTCCTTCTTTGAGCACACTCTATGGTTCCTGTGGAGGGAAGGGGCGGGGTCAGCCGAATGCCGTTCACCGACGCCCATCTTGGAGGAGGCACCGAGGAGACGTGAGGAGAGGGTCCGCCGGGGTGATGTGTGACCGCAGAGGGCGTCTGTCCGCCCTCATATAGGGTATGTCCCCGCCTCTGACAGGGTTGTGCATTCCCCTATAGGATGTGTGCCCCCGCCCCCTGTCATGGCTGCCCCTCCCCCCACATATTACGGTGCCTCTGGGGGACACTTCAAAGATGAAGTCTTATCTGCCCCGCCCCCCCATAACCACCAATCATCCGGGAATTTTGAGGATTTTTTTTTAAGAAAAACCTTTTTAGTGGTCACCAATGTGACATAACTGGGCCTCTGTGCTTCTCTAATGCAATGCAGGCAGATCAGGCTGGGGAGGGGCTAAAAGGGTTCTAGGTAACGCCCCCAAATGCGATGCTGAGCTTCCATGATTGGAAGAGCTGAGATCCAATGAATGGATGAAGTCAGGTGGGAAAATTCCAGGGTGGTGCTAGAAATTTAAGTCAGATAACTCCGCCCTCTTCCCCCTCCCCTCCCCCGCAGAAGGATGTCCACGCTCTTCCCCCCCCTCTTCCCCGCAAGTCACCGACCTCCCTGTGGTTCAACCTGGACTCGGCCGTGTGTGGATGAGAACGAGCTGCAGCAGCAGGAGCAACAGCACCAGGCCTGGGTGAGACCCCAGACCCCCCCAGCCCCCCCCCCCCCCCGGGGGACCCCCCAATTCCTTCCGCCCCCCCTGGGGGGACCCCCAAATCCCTCCCCCCCCGGGACCACAAATCCTAACCTCCCTCTCCCTTATGATCGTCTCCCTCTCCCTTATGATCGTCCCCCCTCCCTCTCCCCTGCGATGCCCTCCTCTTCCCCACAATGTCCTACCCCCTCCCTCTCCGCCATGATGTCCCCCCTCCCCCATGATGTCGCCCCCCCCCCCCCCTCTCCCCTGCGATGCCCTCCTCTTCCCCACAATGTCCTCCCCCCACGATGTCCCCCCTCTCCCTCCACGATGTCCCCCTCCTCCCTACTCCCCCACGATCCCCCCCCCTCTCCCTCGCGATGTCTCCCCCCCCCATTCCCCTCTCCCTCACGATGTCCCCCCCCTCCCTCTCCCCCACGATGTCCCCCCCCCCCTCTCCCTCACGATGTCCCCCCCCTCCCTCTCCCTCACGATGTCCCCCCCCCCTCCCCCTCCCTCACGATGTCCCCCCCCTCCCTCTCCTCACGATGTCCCCCCCCTCCCTCTCCCTCTTGAATGTTTCCCTCCTCCCCCTCTGCCTCACGATGTCCCCCTCCTCCCTCTCCCCCACGATGTCCCCCCTCTCCCCCACGATGTCCCCCCCCTCCCTCTCCCCCCACGATGTCCCCCCCCTCCCTCTCCCCCACAATGGTCCCCCCTCTCCCGCGATGTCCCCCCCCCTCCCTCTCTCTCACGATGTCCCCCCCCCTCCCCTCTCATCACGATGTCCCCCCCCTCCCTCTCCCTCACGATGTCCCCCTCCTCCCTCTCCCTCACGATGTCCCCCTCCTCCCTCTCCCTCACGATCCCCCCCCCCCTCCCTCCCTCTCCCACGATGTCCCCCCCTCACCCCCCCCCCCCCCGATGTCCCCCCCTCCCTCTCCCCCACGATGTCCCCCCTCCCTCTCCCCCCCACGATGTCCCCCCTCTCCCCCACGATGTCCCCCTCCTCCCTCTCCCTCACGATGTCCCCCTCCTCCCTCTCCCCCACGATGTCCCCCCTCTCCCCCACGATGTCCCCCCCTCCCTCTCCCCCACGATGTCCCCCCTCTCCCCTCACGATGTCCCCCCCCTCCCTCTCCCCCACAATGTCCCCCCCTCTCCCATCGCGATGTCCCCCCCCCTCTCTCTCACGATGTCCCCCCCCTCCCTCTCTTTCCCCACGATGTCCCCCCCCCCCCCTCTCCTCTCACGATGTCCCCCCCTCCCTCTCCCTCACGATGTCCCCCCCCTCCCCCTCCCTCACGATGTCCCCCCCCCCTCCCCCCTCCCCCTCACGATGTCCCCCCCTCCCTCTCCCTCACGATGTCCCCCCCCCCTCTCCCTCACGATGTCCCCCCCTCCCTCTCCCTCACGATGTCCCCCCCTCCCTCTCCCTCACGATGTCCCCCTCCCCTCCCCTCTCCCTCACGATGTCCCCCCCCTCCCTCTCCCTCACGATGTCCCCCCCCCTCCCTCTCCCTCACGATGTCCCCCCCCTCCCTCTCCCTCACGATGTCCCCCCCCTCCCTCTCTCCCCCACGATGTCCCCCCCCCCCTCCCTCTCCCTCACGATGTCCCCCCCTCCCTCTCCCCCACGATGTCCCCCCCCCCCCTCCCTCTCCCCTCACGATGTCCCCCTCCTCCCCTCTCCCCTCACGATGTCCCCCCCTCACCCTCTCCCACGATGTCCCTCCCCTCCCTCTCCCCCACGATGTCCCCCCCCCCCTCTCCCCCACGATGTCCCCCCCTCCCTCTCCCCCACGATGTCCCCCCCTCTCCCTCACGATGCCCCCCCCTCCCTCTCCCTCGCGATGTCCCCCCCTCCCTCTCCCCTCGCGATGTCCCCCCCCCTCCCCTCTTTCTCACGATGTCCCCCCCTCCTCTCTCTCTCACGATGTCCCCCCCCTCCCTCTCCCTCACGATGTCCCCCTCCCTCTCCCTCACGATGTCCCCCCCCCCTCTCCCTCACGATGTCCCCCCCCCCCCCTCCCTCTCCCCCACGATGTCCCCCCCTCCCTCTCCCTCTCACGATGTCCCCCCCCTCCCTCTCCCCCACAATGTCCCCCCCCCCCTCCCTCTCCCTCGCGATGTCCCCCTCTCTCTCCCTCACGATGTCCCCCCCCTCCCTCTCCTCACGATGTCCCCCCCCTCCCTCTCACCTCCACGATGTCCCCCCCCTCCCTCTCTCTCACGATGTCCCCCCCCTCCCCCCTCTCTCTCACGATGTCCCCCCCCCCTCCCTCTCCTCACGATGTCCTCCCTCTCCCTCACGATGTCCCCCCCCCCCTCTCCCACGATGTCCCCCCCCCCCCCTCTCCCACGATGTCCCCCCCCCCCCTCCCCCACGATGTCCCTCACCTCCCTCTCCCCCACGATGTCCCCCCCCCTCCCTCTCCCCCACGATGTCCCCCCTCTCCCCCACGATGTCCCCCTCCTCCCTCTCCCTCACGATGTCCCCCTCCTCCCTCTCCCTCACGATGTCCCCCCCTCCCTCCCTCTCCCCCCACGATGTCCCCCTCCTCCCTCTCCCTCACGATGTCCCCCCCTCCCTCTCCCTCACGATGTCCCCCCCCCCTCCCTCTCCCTCACGATGTCCCCCCCCCTCCCTCTCCCCCACGATGTCCCCCTCCTCCCTCTCCCCTCACGATGTCCCCCCCTCCACCCTCTCCCTCACGATGTCCCCCCCTCCCTCTCCCTCACGATGTCCCCCCTCCCCTCCTCCCCCACGATGTCCCCCCCTCTCCCTCACGATGTCCCCCCCCCCCCTCCCCCACAATGTCCCCCCCTCTTCCCTCGCGATGTCCCCCCCCCCCTCTCACGATGTCCCCCCCTCCCTCTCCCCTCACGATGTCCCCCCCTCCCTCTCCCTCACGATGTCCCCCCCTCCCTCTCCCTCACGATGTCCCCCCCCCCCCTCCCTCTCCCTCACGATGTCCCCCCCCCTCCCCTCTCCCTCACGATGTCCCCCCTCTCCCTCTCCCTCCACGATGTCCCCCCTCTCCCTCTCCCCCACGATGTCCCCCCCTCCCTCTCCCCCACGATGTCCCCCCCCCTCTCCCTCACGATGTCCCCCCCCCCTCCTCCCTCTCCCTCACGATGTCCCCCCCTCCCTCTCCCTCACGATGTCCCCCCCTCCCTCTCCCCCACGATGTCCCCCCCCCCTCTCCCTCACGATGTCCCCCTCCTCCCTCTCCCTCACGATGTCCCCCCCCCCCCCTCTCCCCCACGATGTCCCCCCCCCCTCTCCCTCACGATGTCCCCCCCCCCTCCCTCTCCCCCACGATGTCCCCCCCCCCTCTCCCTCACGATGTCCCCCCCCCCCCTCTCCCTCACGATGTCCCCCCCCCCCCCTCTCCCTCACGATGTCCCCCCCCCCCCTCTCCCTCACGATGTCCCCCTCCCTCCCTCTCCCTCACGATGTCCCCCCCCCCCCCTCTCCCCCACGATGTCCCCCCCCCCTCTCCCTCACGATGTCCCTCCCCTCCCTCTCCCCTCACGATGTCCCTCCCCTCCCTCTCCCCCACGATGTCCCTCCCCTCCCTCTCTCCCCCACGATGTCCCTCCCTCCCTCTCCCCCACGATGTCCCCCCCCTCCCTCTCCCCCCACGATGTCCCCCCCCTCTCCCTCACGATGCCCCCCCCCTCCCTCTCCCTCGCGATGTCCCCCCCTCCCTCTCCCCCACAATGTCCCCCCTCTCCCTCACGATGCCCCCCCTCCCCTCTCCCTCGCGATGTCCCCCCCCCTCCCCTCTCTCTCACGATGTCCCCCCCCTCCCTCTCTCTCGCGATGTCCCCCCCTCCCTCTCTCTCACGATGTCCCCCCCCCCTCTCCCCCACGATGTCCCCCCCCCTCTCCCTCATGATGTTGTCCCCCTCCCCCATATCACTATGTTGGAATTCTCTCCTCCTGCAGCTCCAGAGCATCGCAGAGAAAGACAACAACCTGGTCCCCATAGGAAAGCCCGCCTCCGAGGTGAGACCACACCCCTACACAGGGGGAGACCCCACCCCCACACAGAGCTTTAACCCTTTCGTTGCCAGAGCTGGGGGGGGGGGGGGGGGGGTGGAAGCGATCGGCAGTAGCAGTAAGGAGTGTGTACAACATCGGGAGGGGGTAAAGGGGACCTGTCATCCTGACATGACCCCTCCCAGAAGAGCAGAGAGGGAGGATGGAGGAGCTGGGCCAGCACAGGTAGAAATTGGACACTCCTACAAGAGGAGGTAGGGAGGGTGGAGGAGCTGGGCCAGCACAGTCAGTAAGTAAACACTCCCAGAAGAGGAGAGAGCTATGACCTGCAAGGAGGGAGGGAAATTGGGGCAGGGTCTCTTGAAGCGGGCCCGGTCACTTTGCCCATTTAGGGCCCCACCCAGGAAGCTATACTTACCCACCCCCCCACTCTGTTGATCCAGTGGAGCAGATCTTTCCAGTACGGGGGACCCCCCCCCATGTGACCGTTCTGGGACCTGAGTGGCCAATCTCAATCCAGCACTGTGCATGGGAGCCTCGGCATTCCAGGGTCTCTCTCCTCATTGGCTGAGACACAGCCGCTGGCTCCCACTGCTGTCAATCACAGTCAGTGAGGAGAGGGGGGGGGCGGGACTTATGGGTGCATAGCGCATGACCCGGGAGTGAGCACGCAGCAGTGGCCCCATAGCAAGCTTCTCTTGATATTGGGGGCACCGGCCAAGGGGGAGGAGCCAGGAGCGCCGTCTGGGGACCCAAGAAGAGGAGGATCGGGGCTGCTCTGTGCAAAACCAATATTAAAAAAGAAAACCCCTTTAGTATCACCGTAAAGATGATTGGTTGTAAGCGGGAATTCTACTCTAAGGGCCCAATCGTGTAACACCCCCAAAAAGAAGTTTAATAAACCATATGTGAACCCTTACAAAGGCCAGAAAATCGGTGCCAAACGAACTACAATTCTGTTGGCGCGCGTGACGCGTGGCGGCGTCACAAATTCCAGCTCCGCCCTACGCGTTTCGTCAGAGCTAATTGGTTGTAAGCGGAAAATTCTACTCTAAGGGCCCAATTGTGTAAACCCCCCCCCCCCAAAAAAAAAATGTAATCATATAAGAACCTTTTTAAAGGCCAGAAATCGGTGCCAAACGAACTACAAATTCTGTTGGCGCGCGTGCGCGGCGGCGTCACAAATTCCATCTCAGCCCTACGCGTTTCGTCAGAGCTAATTGGTTGTAAGCTGGAATTCTACTCTAAGGGCCCAATCGTGTAAAACGTCCCCAAAAAAGTTTAATAAATCATTTAAGAACCCTTACGAAGGCCAAAAATCTGTGCCAAACGTTTTATAATTCTATTGGCGCGTGTGCGTGGCGGTGTCACAAATTCCATCTCAGCCCTACGCGTTTCGTCAGAGCTAATTGGTTGTAAGCGGAAATTCTACTCTTAAGGGCCCAATCGTGTAAAACCCCAAAAAAGAAGTTTAATAAACCATATAAGAACCCTTATAAAGGCCAGAAATCGGTGCAAAACATTCTACAATTCTGTCGGCGTCACAAATTCCATCTCCGCCCTACGCGTTTCGTCAGAGCTAATTGGTTGTAAGTGGAAATTCTACTCTAAGGGCCCAATCGTGTAAAACCCCCAAAAAGAAGTTTAATAAACCATATAAGAACCCTTATAAAGGCCAAATATCGGTGCCAAACGATCTACAATTCTGTTGGCGCGCGTGCGTGGCGGCGTCACAAATTCCATCTCAGCCCTACGCGTTTCGTCAGAGCTAATTGGTTGTAAGCGGAAATTCTACTCTTAAGGGCCCAATCGTGTAAAATCCCCAAAAAAGAAGTTTAATAAACCATATAAGAACCCTTATAAAGGCCAAATATCGGTGCAAAACATTCTACAATTCTGTCGGCGTCACAAATTCCATCTCCGCCCTACGCGTTTCGTCAGAGCTAATTGGTTGTAAGTGGAAATTCTACTCTAAGGGCCCAATCGTGTAAAACCCCCAAAAAGAAGTTTAATAAACCATATAAGAACCCTTATAAAGGCCAAATATCGGTGCCAAACGATCTACAATTCTGTTGGCGCGCGTGCGTGGTGGCGTCACAAATTCCAGCTCCACCCTACGCGTTTCGCCAGAGCTAATTGGTTGTAAGCGGAAGTTCTACTCTAAGGGCCCAATTGTGTAAAATCCCCAAAAAGAAGTTTAATAAACCATATAGGAACCCTTATAAAGGCCAGAAATCGGTGCAAAAAACATTCTACAATTCTGTCGGCGTCACAAATTCCATCTCCGCCCTATGCGTTTCGTCAGAGCTAATTGGTTGTAAGTGGAAATTCTACTCTAAGGGCCCAATCGTGTAAAACCCCCAAAAAGAAGTTTAATAAACCATATAAGAACCCTTATAAAGGCCAGAAATCGGTGCCAAACGAACTACAATTCTGTTGGCGCGCGAGCGTGGCGGCGTCACAAATTCCAGCTCCACCCTACGCGTTTCGCCAGAGCTAATTGGTTGTAAGCGGAAGTTCTACTCTAAGGGCCCAATCGTGTAAAACCCCAAAAAGAAGTTTAATAAACCATATAAGAACCCTTATAAAGGCCAAAAATCGGTGCCAAACGAACTACAATTTTGTTGGCGCGCGCGTGCGTGGCGGCGTCACAAATTCCAGCTCCGCCCTACGCGTTTCGTCAGAGCTAATTGGTTGTAAGCGGAAATTCTACTCTAAGGGCCCAATTGTGTAAACCCCCCCCCCCCAAAAAAAAATTTAATCATATAAGAACCTTTTTAAAGGCCAGAAATCGGTGCCAAACGAACTACAATTCTGTTGGCGCGCTGTTTTACTGTGCGCGGCGGCCTCACAAATTCCATCTCAGCCCTACGCGTTTCGTCAGAGCTAATTGGTTGTAAGCTGGAATTCTACTCTAAGGGCCCAATCGTGTAAAACGTCCCCAAAAAAGTTTAATAAACCATATAAGAACCCTTACAAAGGCCAAAAATCTGTGCCAAACGTTTTATAATTCTATTGGCGCGTGTGCGTGGCGGTGTCACAAATTCCATCTCAGCCCTACGCGTTTCGCCAGAGCTAATTGGTTGTAAGCGGAAATTCTACTCTTAAGGGCCCAATCGTGTAAAACCCCCAAAAAGAAGTTTAATAAACCATATAAAGAACCCTTATAAAGGCCAAAAATCGGTGCCAAACGAACTACAATTCTGTTGGCGCGCGCGTGCGTGGCGGCGTCACAAATTCCAGCTCCACCCTACGCGTTTCGCCAGAGCTAATTGGTTGTAAGCGGAAGTTCTACTCTAAGGGCCCAATCGTGTAAAACCCCCAAAAAGAAGTTTAATAAACCATATAAGAACCCTTATAAAGGCCAAAAAATCGGTGCCAAACGAACTACAATTCTGTTGGCGCGCGTGCGTGGCGGCGTCACAAATTCCAGCTCCGCCCTATGAGTTTCGTCAGAACCGACGTCATCAGGGGCCCTCTATTTTTAGGTAGCAGGGAACACATGACACACCTCCCAGGTACTCTTGTGTCCAGTCCCCGGGGGGTGTGCAACAAGTTCCAAAGGGGCCACACGTGGCCCTCAGACTGCAGGTTGACCGCCAAGGTTAGAGGGGAATTAAACAGTTTTTTTGTATGTATGTAAGGCTTGGCGTGCGTCTCGTGTAACTCTCCCTACCTCCACCCCCCTCCCCAGCCCTACGACGAGGAGGAGGAGGAGGATGACGAAGACGACGAGGACAGCGAGGAGGATTCGGAGGACGATGAGGACATGCAGGACATGGATGAGATGAACGATTATAACGAGTCTCCAGATGACGGTGAGATTGAGGTCAGTGAAAGACTCCGGTTGTGTCTTCCTGAGCTTCCCGACTCAAAGCCGAACTCCGGGCCGGTTCCGTCCCGCCCAGGAACGCATGGCAGGGTGATGTCATCGCATTGGAAGCCACACCCTCTGCCCGGGGCTCCTGGGAGGCGGTACTATGCCGACATCACTTCCTGTTACTGTGCAGGGCCGCCGGAAGAAACTACAAGTCCCATCATGCAATGGGTGTGAGGGTGATCGGTCGGCGGCCGATCCTGTGTTGGCCAGTCCTTGTCTTCTGTATACACCCCGCTGTCAGGGAGGGTAGCGGTAAGTCACCGGTCACGCCGCTGCGATTTGCGTGCGATTTCAGCGCGATTTCCCAAGACTTTATTGCGACGGTTTTTTCAACGACTTTTTGCGATTTCCATTATATTCTATGTATGTGAAACCGCAGAAAGTCACCGGTCACGCGGCTGCGATTTGCGTGCGATTTCTGAAGACTTTATTGCGACTGGCAAAGATTTTCAACGATTTCTTGCGATTTTTTTTTTTTTTTTTTCCATTATATTTGATGTATGTGAAATCGCAACAAAACCGCAGAAAGTCACCGATCACGCCGCTGTGATTTGTGTGCGTTTTCTGAGCGTTCTCCGAAGACTATATTGCCACTGGTGGAGATTTTCAACGATTTCTTGCGATTTTCATTATATTCTGTAATGAAAAAAAAGTCACCGGTCACGCCGCTGCGATTTTTGTGCAATTTTTTTGAAGAATTTCTTGCAGCTGGCGAAGATTTTCAATGATTTCTTGTGATTTGCAATGCGATTTCTATTATATTCTACATATGTGAAATCGTAACGAAACCGCAGAATGTCTCCGGTCGCGCCGCTGCGATTTGCGTGCAATTTCAGCGCAATTTCCGGAGACTTTATTGCGGCTGGCGAAGATTTTCAACCATTTCTTGCGATTTCCATTATATTTGATGTATGTGACATCGCAACGAAACCGCAGAACGTCACTGATCACGGCGCTGCGATTTGTGTGCGATTTCAGCGTGATTTCTGAAGATTTTATTGCGACGGTTTTCAACGAATTTTTGCGATTTTCAATTATGTATGTGAAACCACAGAAAGTCACCGGTCACACCGCTGCGATTTGTGTGCGATTTCCGAAGACTTTATTGCGACTGGCAGAGATTTTCAACGATTTCTTATATTCTATAATGAGAAAAAAGTCACCGGTAACGCCGCTGCGATTTTTGTGCGATTTCTGAAGACTTTCTTGCGGCTGGCGAAGATTTTCAATGATTTCTTGTGATTTGCAATGCGATTTCTATTATATTCTACGTATGTGAAATCGCAACGAAACCGCAGAATGTCACCGGTCACGCCGCTGCGATTTGTGTGCAATTTCAGCGCGATTTCTGAAGACTTTATTGCGACGGTTTTCAACGAATTTTTGCGATTTGCAGTGCGATTTCCATTATATTCGATGTATGTGAAATCGCGCCGAAACCGCAGAAAGTCACAGGTCGCACCGCTGCAATTTCTGTGCAATTTCTGAAGACTTTATTGCGACTTGCGGAGGTTTTCAGCGATTTGCAGTGCGATTTACACTAAATTCTACGTATGTCAAAAAGCAACCAAACCGCAGAAAGTCACCGGTCACACCGCTGCGATTTGCGTGCGATTTCTGAAGACTTTATTGCAGCTGGCGAAGATTTTCAATGATTTCTAGCAATTGCAATGCGATTTCTATTATATTCTACGTATGTGAAATCGCATCGAAACCGCAGAAAGTCACCGATCACGCCGCTGCGATTTGTATGCAATTTCTGAATTTTTATTGCGACTTGAGAAGGTTTCCAACAACTTCTTGCGTTTTTTTTTTTTCCCCATTATATTCTATGTATGAATTTGCAACGAAACTTCAGAAAGTCACCGGTCACACCGCTGCGATTTGTGTGCAATTTCAGCGCGATTTCCAAAGACTTTATTGCGACTTGCGAAGGTTTTCAGCGATTTCTTGTGACTTCCATTATATTCTATGTATGTGAAATCGCAATGAAACCGAAAAAAAAAAGTCACCGGTCGCGCCGCTGCGATTTGTGTGCGATTTCAGCACAATTTCTGAAGACTTTATTGGGATGGTTTTCAATGAATTTTTGCGATTTGCAGTGCGATTTCCATTATATTCGATGTATGTGAAACTGCAAAAAGTCACAGGTCGCACCGCTGCGATTTCAGTGTGATTTCTGAAGACTTTATTGCGACTTGCGGAGGTTTTCAGGGATTTCTTGCGATTTGCAGTTCGATTTTCCATTTATATTCTATGTATATGAAATCGCAGAAAGTCACCGGTCGCACCGCTGTGATTTGTGCGCGGTTTCAGCGTGATATCCAAAGACTTTATTGCGACTTGCGAAGGTTTTCAGCGATTTGCGTGAGAAATTTCTGAAGACTTTATTGCGGCTGGCGAACATTTTCAATGATTTATTGCGATTTCTATTATATTCGATGTATGAATTTGCAACGAAACTTCAGAAAGTCACCGGTCACACCGCTGCGATTTGTGTGCAATTTCAGCGCGATTTCCAAAGACTTTATTGCGACTTGCGAAGGTTTTCAACGATTTCTTGCGATTTGCAGTTTGATTTTCCATTATATTTTATGTATATGAAATCGCAGAAAGTCACCGGTCGCACCGCTGCGATTTGTGTGCAATTTCAGCGCGATTTCCAAAGACTTTATTGCGACTTGCGAAGGTTTTCAGCGATTTGCGTGAGATTTCTGAAGACTTTATTGCGGCTGGCGAACATTTTCAATGATTTCTTGCGATTTCTATTATATTCGATGTATGTGAAATCGCAACGAAACCGCAGAAAGTCACCGGTCGCGCCGCTGCGATTTGTGTGCAATTTCAGCACAATTTCTGAAGACTTTATTGGGATGGTTTTCGATGAATTTTTGCGATTTGCAGTGCGATTTCCATTATATTCGATGTATGTGAAACTGCAAAAAGTCACAGGTCGCACCGCTGCGATTTCAGTGTGATTTCTGAAGACTTTATTGCGACTTGCGGAGGTTTTCAGCGATTTGCAGTACGATTTACACTATATTCTACGTGTGTGAAATCGCAACGAAACCGCAGAAAGTCACCGGTCACACCGCTGCGATTTGTGTGCAATTTCAGCGCGATTTCTGAAGACTTTTTATTGCGACTGGCGGAGATTTTCAACGATTTCTTGCGATTTTCAGTGCGATTTCCATTGTATTCTGTGTATGTGAAATCGTAACGAAACTGCAGAAGGTCACCGGTCACACCGTTGCGATTTGTGTGCGATTTCCGAAGACTTTATTGCGACTTGTGAAGGGTTTCAACGATTTCTTGCAAATTGCAGTGCGATTTTACATTGTATTCGATGTATGCGAAACCGCAGAAAGTCACCGGTCACACCGCTGCGATTTGTGTGCGATTTCAGCATGATTTCTGAAGACTTTATTGCAGCTGGCGAAGATTTTCAATGATTTCTAGCAATTGCAATGCGATTTCTATTATATTCTACGTATGTGAAATCGCATCGAAACCGCAGAAAGTCACCGATCACGCCGCTGCGATTTGTATGCAATTTCTGAATTTTTATTGCGACTTGAGAAGGTTTCCAACAACTTCTTGCGTTTTTTTTTTTTCCCCATTATATTCTATGTATGAATTTGCAACGAAACTTCAGAAAGTCACCGGTCACACCGCTGCGATTTGTGTGCAATTTCAGCGCGATTTCCAAAGACTTTATTGCGACTTGCGAAGGTTTTCAGCGATTTCTTGTGACTTCCATTATATTCTATGTATGTGAAATCGCAATGAAACCGAAAAAAGTCACCGGTCGCGCCGCTGCGATTTGTGTGCGATTTCAGCACAATTTCTGAAGACTTTATTGGGATGGTTTTCAATGAATTTTTGCGATTTGCAGTGCGATTTCCATTATATTCGATGTATGTGAAACTGCAAAAAGTCACAGGTCGTACCGCTGCAATTTCAGTGTGATTTCTGAAGACTTTATTGCGACTTGCGGAGGTTTTCAGCGATTTCTTGCGATTTGCAGTTCGATTTTCCATTATATTCTATGTATATGAAATCGCAGAAAGTCACCGGTCGCACCGCTGTGATTTGTGTGCGGTTTCAGCGTGATATCCAAAGACTTTATTGCGACTTGCGAAGGTTTTCAGCGATTTGCGCGAGATTTCTGAAGACTTTATTGCGGCTGGCGAACATTTTCAATGATTTCTTGCGATTTCTATTATATTCGATGTATGTGAAATCGCAACGAAACCGCAGAAAGTCACCGGTCACGCCGCTGCGATTTGTTTGCAATTTCAGCGCGATTTCTGAAGACTTTTTATTGCGACTGGCGGAGATTTTCAACGATTTCTTGCGATTTTCAGTGCGATTTCCATTGTATTCTGTGTATGTGAAATCGTAACGAAACTGCAGAAGGTCACCGGTCACACCGCTGCGATTTGTGTGCGATTTCCGAAGACTTTATTGCGACTTGTGAAGGTTTTCAACGATTTCTTGCGAATTGCAGTGCGATTTTACATTGTATTCGATGTATGCGAAACCGCAGAAAGTCACCGGTCACACCGCTGCGATTTGTGTGCGATTTGTGTGCGATTTCCAAAGACTTTATTGCGACTTGCGAAGGTTTTCAACGATTTCTCGCGATTTGCAATGCGATTTCCATTATATTCTACGTATGTGAAATCGCAACGAAACCGCAGAAAGTCACCGGTCACACCGCTGCGATTTAAAATCGTACGATTCATGTGTCGTTTCAGGTGCGATTTCGGAAGGTACAAATCGCACTGAAGTGAAGTTGCGCGATTTCAAAGTTGCGTTCGGTGTGAACCGGGGCTGAGTGGCCTGGAAATTGAAATCGCACCTGAAGTCGCATCTAATGAATGTCCCAACGTGCGATTTGCTGCAGCGCGATTTCTAAGTCCCCGGTCACACTGGGTGCGACTTGGTATATGACTTGCAAATCGCATGGCAAGTCGCACCCTATTGTCTGCAGTTCTATCGGTGCGGTTCCGACTTGGTCAGCACTGATTTCTAAAGTAGTACATGCAGTACCCTGCTCACAACACCAGTGGTATGATGGCGCTGTACTGCACCGGTGTACTGCAAATCATCCAATCCCCAGTCAGTATCCCCGGTCACATGACACTGGACTGGAATATGAAAAAAACTAC